CCACTGAGCACCGTTTCTTCCGCCGTAGCGTGATCTGCGACTCCAACGCTACGGCCTTGGAGCTACCCAGTTTGCAACCCGCAGCGCCCTCGGCCCCTATCTCGGGAGGCAGCGCCGCTCCGTTGGTCTCTCCTCCCGAGTGTGCCAGTCGGACCTCTTACATCTCTGTCAGCGCCACTCAGGCCCCCTCGCTGCTGCAGCAGCCACCGCCGCCTGCCCCGCTTCCCCTCGAAGGACAGTCTGCTCAGGAGGCCCCTGCCGCGAAAGATGCCGCCCCGCTGCTGCCCAAGGAAGAGGAGGAGGATGAGGCAGCGGCGCTACCCCCCACCAGTGCCGCTGGCAGGCAGCTGCCAGCCGGGAATTTGAGGAGCGGAGAACACAGCAGGAAGACATCGAAGAGCTTGAGACCAAGGCAGTGGGCATCTCCCCGGATGGCCGCTTCCTGAAGTTTGACATCGAGATTGGAAGAGGCTCCTTCAAAACTGTGTATAAAGGACTAGATACGGATACCACTGTGGAAGTCGCCTGGTGCGAGCTGCAGGTAAAATAAATCAATAACAAATGTGAATTAGGAAGGCATAGTCACTCTCCCAGGTGCTGGGCTGTGTGGTTGAAGGAGGTGAAAGCCATCAGCTCAAGGTCTGCTTTTTCCAGACAGGGAACTGCAGTCCTTAACTGAAGCACTCCTTCTGAAGAAATGTGCAGCCTTTCCTTGGAGTCAGTTTGCTTTTTAATTCTTTTAAATACTCTGCTCTCTGAAGAATTTTCTAGCTTTATCATCAGAAAATGTACTGCAGCTCTGTTTCTTACAACATCTTGCATTTTACGCCTCCAAAAGGTAGCTTGGAGGATTGTAAAAATACTTGTACACAGCTTCAGGGCAGCTGAGGGGAAAATGTGTGAGTGTCAACTTGAGCTAACTTTGATTTTTGAAAATGAGCTTGGGTAGGTGTTTTTAATTAGAAAAAAATGCTAAAATGTTAATTTCACACACATTTCGTATGTCTGTGTCAGTGGATTCTTGTAGGAGGTAACTCTAGATGATACACAAAGTCATATAGTGCATCACATCATTTAGTTTTACAAAGCTGTTTCTTTCATTCTAAGTTTTAGGGTTCACACGTGTTATAGACACAAGGAAAGGAAGAAAGTAATGATCTCCTTTCTGAAGCTTTAAAAAAGAAAACCCCTGAAGTTTAATCTTTCTAAATGACTCGTGGATTAAATTGAACTAAGGCACTGCTCTTCTACCAAGTTTCTAGCCCAAGCAGAGCCAGAGTTTTGTAGGAGCCCAGCCTAACAATGGCAGGAACACCCTAAGTTCCATGCGAGTCAGAGCTTGTGTAACTGAGATGCAGGTTGCTGTGCAACAACCTTAAAAGAAGTGGGAAGAGCTTGGAGTACCAGGAACAAATTCCTGGTGTTGTACTAGTTTGTTTTTAAAGCCTCAGCATTAAGTTAAAAGGATAGTACTTGGTTTTTAGAGTTGGGTTTTGGTGCAATTCATAGAGGGGTTCATGTAGTATGGTTTTATTATTGTGTGTGTTCCAATCCAATTTAGGACAGACAAAAGAGCATTGGGTTAAAATCCCATAAGCTTTTGTGGGGTTTTTTAAGCAGTTAGCTGCTCACAAGTGACTGATTGTGGTAAGTGCACCAGAACTTTCTTCCCCTCAAAAGCAGTTTTACATCTATTCCAGTCAAACTGGGAGAATTCATGAAGAGATTTCTTGATCTGTATTCATATTTGCTTTTGGATGATTGCTCAAGCATTCTACCACTATCTTGGTTCATGATGTTATTGCCATTATTCTATGCTTACTGACTCTGGAAGTAACCTTTCGGTTTTCTTTGTGACCTTTAAGCATGTCCTGCTCCTCCATGCTTGCGTTGTACTTGCTGTGGTGGTCTTTTGAGAATTAATTTTAAACATAAAAAATGAAATGATCCAGTGTTGGACTCTGCTTAAGCATCTGACATGCAGTTTGAACTGAGAGGAGATTAATAATACACCAAAATGAATGACTTTTACCTGAAAATTAAATCTTTGCAGTTTTGGAGTTCCTTAACTTTAACCGCTGAAACCTGTTTTAATTTTCACACTTACAGATCAGAAACTAATGTCAGCTTGGCATCAGGTGCTTTTTGCTAACATCGCCTCTGTTGAAGAGTCTTAATCATCATCAGTGCCATGTGGACAAACTGTTTAAAGAAGCACCTTCTTTGAAGCAATTTAATAAAGAAGCTTATTTATAAAGGGCATGTTGCTGAGCTTTCAGTTCATTGAAGAATTTCAAAAGTAGTATTCAGAATGACAGACTACAAAAAGCATGAATGAAAATATTTGTAAGGGGGAAATATGTGACATTTTGCTTGGAGGTTAACTATTTAACTATATTACAGGAGTGCTTTGTGGGTTAAATTATTCTGAAGGCTGTAGTTATCCCTCTCATGCAAAATGACAAGTTTGAAACAACAATATTAATTTTATAGCTGTTAAAAGTATCTGCTAAAGGACCTACACTGCAGCTAGTACAGTCTTTTAAGAATAAGTCCTGTTTTATTGTTTGTGTCTAGAAATGAAAGGGGGAACTTGGTATTTATTGGTATGATAGGTACATCCTCTTCTTTCTCTAGGTAAATAGAATTCTTGACAAGTTAGTGATATTCGTAATGTGATTTTATATCAAAATACAATATGAATTCACAAAGATGGACTGAAACTTAGATGTCATTTGTTTTCCACAATGCCATGGTTTGAGGACTGGTGAACCTTCAAAGCGTATTTATTTTATTAGGGAAATGTGAATTATTTTCTTCCATGCTATATTGTACTAACCATGACTAACTGATGGTTACTTTTATTTGTCTTGAAATAATGTAGTTTGGTTTTTTGTTGTGTGTGTGTGTGTTTTTTTTTTTTTTGTTGGTTTTTTTTGTGTGTTTTTTTGTGTTTTGTTTTGGTGGGTTTTTTGTTTTTTTTTTTTTTTTTTAAGCAATCCTGGAGCTTTTCTTCTCTGTATTTGTGCAAGTAAGCATGTGCATCCTAGGTGTCTCACTTCTATAGAGTCTTCTAAACAGTGCTTACTGTAGTGCTGCCAGAATGAGGTTGCTTAGCATGATTGTGCAGACTAAATCCTTCCTGTCCTGGCTTATCCAAAGTTGATGAAAGTCTGTCACAGTTCTTGACTGCAAGAATAACAGAATGGGGTGAGAACAGTTTGTATTTTTGCAGAGTCTTGGGGTGTATGGTCTTTTAAAGCTTTTCTAGTATACCTAGAATGCTTCAGTTTCTTTAAAATCTCTCGTGTGTGGAAGGAGGTGAGATGCCAGCTGCTTTCAGCTCACTTAAACTACAGTGTTTCAGTGTTGGAGCAGATTCCATAGCAGGAATTTTGTGGATCAAGGACAACACAGAAAGCTCTTTGATCTCTGGCAGAATGACTTTTCAATGCTTAATAATGCAACTATACCTAATTTTTTATGTGCTCTGTAGTGCCAAAGTTTAAAATCTGAGAGTATCGATACACTTCCTTTCAAAGGGAGTTTGGGTGCTATTTATCAAACACAGCTTGGGTTCCCAAGGTTCTCATGATACTCTGAAGAGAGAACATTGCTCCATATCCTTAAGAAGGCTTTCAGACTGCCTAATAATGCCCCGTATGCTTGATTTACTGAACTGTGGAGGAAATAGGAGAAAGAGCTGAAATTCTGTAGGAGACTTAATGGTGTTCTTGGTATCTCCAGCCAGGGAGGTCCTGGTCAAGACTGTAGTTTTTCTTGGGCTGTGGAAGATGGGGAGATTTAATATGAAGGAATTTAGTATTTCAAGATTGGTTATAGATGTGTAACAAAACCATAACAAAGGTGTGGCTGATGGATTATCCTAGTTTGTTGTGGCCTGTCTATTAAAATAAATCTAGTTTAAATATTGTGTACAGATATTTAAATGTGAATTATCTGCCCTGCTGTGGGCATAGTGAAGCTGTGAAGAGCCCAACAGCAACAGCTTAGGGCCAGTGTTCAGCTTTAGTTATTGCAAGGAAATTGTTAGTGTACTGTTAGTCTTCAAATACTTTTATTCCCATTGTATATATTCATCTCAACTCTAGTTATTCTGAGTCAAGTGTGCCTCCTACTGTTGTCATTAGCACATCTCATAAATTGAGTGAAGCAGTAGTTAGGGTTACTGCTTTAATGGTCTTTAAGCAGATAGAAGTTGGCAAAAATGGTTACTGTTGCTGTTTTCTACTTAAAATAACTCTTCCTGTACAATTGTGTTACTGGTTAGTCTTCTTAAATTACATTTCTGAGCAGTGAGTCTTTTGTCACCTCTGTACGGTTCAGGTAACGTGGCTAAAATGTGATGCCTTTTCCTGTTGCATTAAGTTTATGTATGTGAAGTAATAGTCTTAGGCCAAAGGTAGCAAGAGTCACATAGCTGACTAAAAGCCAAATCTTAGGGGTAATGTGTCATCCTCTGAGTCCCTGTTTCAGTTAGAGTTGGTATTAAATCAAGACTGTCATTTAACTTCTGGTTTACAGAACAATACAGGGTGGTGCAGCCAGTTGCTGGACTGTGAAATCTTCCATCTAGAATTATTGCTCTGGGTTCTGTCATTCCAATGAGTAACTTCTCAAATACAAAAGTGCACTTGATGATACGGAGGTAAATTTGGCTCTTCTTTGAACTGTGAATTTGTCAGGCAATTGAAGACTTGCCATCTTTCATTTGAATACTGTCTTCTCTGAAAGGAAACATGATTTAGAAACTGTTATTAGATGTTTACATTAGTTGAAAGTGCACTCTTGGTAAACTGTTTGTTGGAGAACAACGTTGCTTGTCTGGTATGTGCTGTATCACTCCTGTCCTGGGTACTTTGACAGAGAAAGGTAGGTTGGTCAGTCAGCAGTTATGGTTCATGAATGCTGAAGTTCTTGCTGATAGGTCACTTAGTTGTTCTTACTCTGGCTTTGGTGCAGTGTTAGGTTACTGTGCTTAATGTGCGAGCTGCTGAAGGGGATAAGGAGGTTGAGGGCTGTCTCTAAGAGAGCGAGCTTCTGGGGGTAAGAAATGAGTTTGACAGGTGGCAGTAGTGCAAGGAAGTCTGTTGTACTTCTTACTACTTTGAATGGAAGCTGAATGTGAATTTGATTATCTTTAGTTGTAAATCATCGGAGTAATAAATTAGTATGCAATTCTGTTGCAGACTGTTAACTATAGGCCAAGTGTAGTGTATGAATACTCCAGCTTACAAACGGATTTTTCTTTACGTAGGGCAGTAGCAATGAAGAAGCGGTTGAAAACAAACATAATGCCATAACCAAATGTGAACCATGAGATTCTGTAGTGCACGCTGGTAAAAATGATAATGCAACTCGCTGACACCTCATTACAGGAGGTAGTGAGGTGCTAAGTAATATTTCCATACGTCAGATTTTTTGAGTGTAATAATGTATAGAAGTTAAAACTTGCAATACAGAAAGTTGCTTGGATATGATGTATATCTTCTCTTTTAGTGACACTTGAGGTTTAACTTT